CAAGGGGCTGGGAGTGGGGGAAATGATGAGATGCTGGTCAAATGTTACAAACTTCTAGTTGCATGAGGATGTGGTTGGTGTTCTGTGAGCCGAATGTATAGCACAGTGACTACAGTTAACAGTTAAGTGTATTGTATATTTTAAAGTTGCTACTAGAGATTTTTAAGGTAACAGTTTTTTAAAGATTTTATTTACTTCTAGAGAGGGGAAGGGAGAGAGGGAAAGAAACATCAATGTTTGAGAAATACATCGATCACTTGCATCCCAACTGGGGACCTGGCCTGCAACCCAGGCATGTACTCTAACCAGGAATTGAATCAGCAACCTTTTGGTTCACAGGCTGGCACTCAATCCACTGAGCCACACCAGCCAGGACTGCTACTGGAGATTTTAAATGTTCTCACCATAACGACCAAAAAAAAAAAGGTAATCATATGAGGTGAAGGATGTTTACTATGGTAAATATTGCAAAATATATCCGTATATCAGATCACCATATTGTATACCTTAAACATACAGCACATTGATGTCAATTTTACTCAGTAAAGCTGGAGGAAAAAAATCTTATCAGAGATTAGGGGGTGGGACCAGAATGCTATTTTGTAGCTACATTGACTCAAACTATTTAGCCCATTACACCAAGTATAAACTTCTCATTTTAGCTCACCTTAATCTGGCTCTTTCTTACCATGTTAACCCTACCTCTTAACAGTAATCCCTTCTTGCCCTGGCCAGCATGGCTCAGTTGGTTGGAATGTGATCCTGCCCGTCAGGGTATACAAGATCTCTCCAGAAAAAGTCCAGCCATTGTTAACATAACAAGAATGGTTTGAGCAACACCGATGTAAGCTGGCAGCCGAGAATGGACTAGAATAAGCATGTGTGAACAATGATGACTTCACTGTACTAGTGAGGGCAGTAGATACTATTGAGTGAGCATGTACACTGTGTGGCTGTTGCATTCAAAATGACTGAGCAAGAGCAATGAATCTGCATCAAGTTTTGCATGAAGCTTGAACATTCCTCTGCAGGAACTATTCAGGTAATTCAGAAGGCCACAGCTATGGGCAACTGGTGATTGGCAGCTTCATCACAACACACCCACTCATGCATCACATGTGGTGGGTTTTTTTTGCAAAATATCAAATCACCAGGTGACTTGGCCCTATGGCCCAGATTTGGTGCCCCATGACTTCTGGCTTTTCCCAAAACTAAAACCACCTTCAAAAGGGAAGAGACTTCAGACCAGCAGTGAGATTCAGGAAAATACAATGAGGCAGCTGATGGCAATTGGGAGAACTGTGTAGGTCCCAAGGTGCCTACTATGAAGGACACTGAGGCATCATTTTCCTATGTAGAACATTTTGTATATTTTCTTCAATTGATGTCTCTATTTTTATTACATGGCTGGATACCTTCTGGAGAGACCTCATATACCTAGGTCGTGGGTCTGATCCCTGACCAGGGCACGTACAAGGAGGCAACTAATCAACGTTTCTCTCTCTAAAAATCAATAAACATATCCTCAGGTCAGGATTTAAAAATTTTTGCTTTAAAAGTTAACTTTTATTCAGATTTTATTCAAACATTTTATTTCACCTCTGCACACAGTATTTCTACAAATTAAGAATGTCATTCCTCCTAAAGCCATTCCACTGAGTGACAGTAATTGAAATCTAGATTCTAATTCCAACTCTGTGATCCAGGGAAGACTTAGAATTCTAGACACATTTCCTTCTTTGAAAAATAGAGGCAGGCTTAGAAGTTGGAGTTTCCTTCTAGTTTAAGAAATTGGATTATTAAACTCTAGGGCCTAGTTTGTACCACTAAGTTTTACATTGTTATATTCCTTTATAAGAACATTTTTTGTTGGCTAATTGATTTATGAACTTGAGAAAGCTTTGTTATGTATCAACATGCCTACACAAGAACGCCAAGGCCTTGGGAAAGAGCATGATGCAGTGATACTTGAATTCAAGTCCCCTGAACGGTTACGAGGTCTTGGGTCACAGCCCTGAGCCTCAGTTTCCTTATCTGTAACCTACTCTGTTCCTTACAGGACTGTCCTAAAGATTATCAAAAGAGAAAGAAATGTGAAAAAAATTTAAACAAAAAGAGCATTATACAATTAAGTTGTTAGATATTACAATGTTCCTGATGGCTGATAAAATATCATCAAAGAAAAGTGCTTCCATAAAAGTTTTATTGATCCCCACAACAACCCTGTGAGGTAGGGTGATCAGGGCATTGGAAGATGAGAAAACTAAATCTACATTGCTTGTTCATGGCTATACTGCATAGTAAATATGTAGAAATTAAACTGAGGTTCTTAAATGTCCATGACTTCATATTGATTCACATGGAAAAAGGCAGAGAGAATATTAACTCCCCCCACCTTAATGCCAAATGGACAATGCCTTGAAAAATCCCATTTCAAAAGATGAAAGTAGTATTTCATTGCTTATTTCTACAAAGATTTATAAAATAAAAAAATAGTGAAATATTTTACAGTTTATATATAAGGGTCTCATTCAGGGATATGTCCTTCAGTTGTGTGTATGATCAACTATTCCAAGTGCTAGGAATGCAAATTCTTAAAAACTATGAAAGAATGATAATGAGCAGTAGCTTCAATCTTCTTTATTATTCCTCCATGCATCTTGAATAAGTTCTGTGAAATCTGGTCCCAGTTTAAAACAAAACAAAACAAAACAAAAAACCTCTACCACAGAGATGTCTGGTAAACTTTTATTTTGCTGCTTACTGTCAAACTACTGTCACATTTTTAAAACAGTGATTTCCCAAACCTGCTTATTAGAATCACTTGGAGAGCTTTTAAAAAAAAAAAAACCACCCACCCACACACACACACACAAAATCAGGCCCCACTGTAAACCCAAAGAGACAATTTTGTAGGAGTTAGGCATCAGGAATCTATTTCCAAAGCTCAAAGTAACTCTAATGAACAGGCAGGTTTGGGAACTACTGATGTATTTTAAAGTACTAACTAATATCAAAACCATAAATTAACTAAGTATAATCTTACTGCTTTCTTATCCCAATTTCTCAAAACACACATCCCAAGAACTCTTGCCTCTGGGAAAGTAATTTCAATTCAAGATATGGAGAAACATTTTATAAAAATGTATCCTAGTGAGTGACACTTGGATTCCAATAATTTAAGTAGCATTTAAATATAAGATACTGAGTTTTGTGGTTCTTATTCTGAATATTTAAAATGTATTTCATACAAGTTCCTAACAGGCTTTTAACTCAGGGGAAGACATGAAAAGTAATGACATAATTAAGCACATCAACACTGAAAAAATACTATACTTGAACATAGGTCATGAGAGGAATAAGAAAGTGAATGAATGACAACCTAAGGCCTTTTGGCCCATACATTTTTGTTCCCAGTCCACTCTTCCCCTATAAGGGGAAATAAAATAAACATTCTTTCCTAGTTGCTTGGCATAGTTATTCGGTGGGTGACTATTAACTAAGTTAATTTTAGATACACAAGATTGATTAAAAGAGATAACAAATAAATATCAATGAAGACAAAGAGAAATCCGGTCAGAAAACCTTAACTAGCTAATGATGTAGTACATCACACCATCATGTTAGTACAATTAAATGAAGGCTTCCGTGTCCTTTACATTTCATATTTATGTGAGTGACATAAGACGTGGAAAAGATCTGGTCCTTATGAAGAATTCTGTGCTCGCTGTAAAGATTTGTAGGAATAATGAAATACTTTTTTCAGTGATGAGATGAAGTCTCTATTTTTCAGGTAACTTGACTGAACTAAACAGTGAAAATAACTTCTTTAGAAGGCTGAATGAAAGTAATATCTAGTTGAAAACGTCATTGGCCGAAGAGAACTTTAAAAAAAAAAACATGCTATGTTTAACCCTAAAAACAAAACAAACAAAAAACCAAAACCAAAAAGCCCAGAGAAATATAAAAAAACAATGTACACATACATTTGCACTGACAATTACAAGAAAATAGCCATTTATAGAAGTCACAATCCTTTTAACAAATTCCCCCCAAATTTTGGGAAACAAGATAAAGCCATTGGGTAAATAAATATACATACTAGCTAGTATAAAACAATTTATGGTTTCAAATTGTTATTCTTTTAAGACCCAAGGAGAAATTGGTAATATAAATCTGATTAGGGCTGCATATATTACATGGATTAAAAACACAACTGATTAAAACATTCTAACAATAATACAAATATTTAAAAGAATGACTTAAAAGTCAGACATTTACCACTGGAAATAGCACAATTATAATATGAACTTCAGAGCTGTAATGTGTATATAGGTCACTTGCACTGTATCTTATTAGGTATCCATCTCTCCTGCATTTACTATAGTCAGTTTTTAAGAGTTCATGTTTCCTGCGTGAACTGTAGGGGCTGGGCACATTTCAGTCCATAAAATACACTCGTACACTTCCACGTGACTGAATGGAAGTGTTTGAGATAACATCTATAAACAGATTTTTAAAAAGGGGTAATGAGAAGATAAAACATTAATGTGAGAGGAAGCTGGACAGTTGTCTCTATAAATTAGTTAAAATTTTGTTATTAAATTTAAAATGATTTAAGTCAAGTAATGAAAAAAATATGTATTAAATTAGTCTCAAGAAATTTTCTCAGGCCATACAAATTTCCCTTACTTTATTTCTTTAAGGAATCTTGTTATGCTTGATTCATTAGTCAGTCGACTTGAGGGAACTCTCCCTTAACACGGGACTGAAAACAGTGTGTATTTAAAGTGCCCACTGGCACAATAGTATAGGTGCTTACATTTCCCTTCTCATTATGGGAAAGCCCTTTGGGACTGTATCTACTTAGAAAAGCTTTCAGCAATTATAATGCAGGCTGAAAGTTTAGATCTGATATAGTTTTTGGATTTTGCTGTTTGAGCATAAAAAGGGAGCAAGGAAAATGTAACTAGGTTCACAATTTTGAGCAAGAGCATATGTAAAGGTAACGTATGTACATTTTATTTCAAGAAAGACAGAAGACAAACAGCATAAAGATGCCCAGATGCCCTAAAGATAAATACATTTCAAAGATTCTCATTAAAATGAATCTGTAGTATTTTTCCTGCAAGCAAAATACCTTTCTTTAAATTAAAACAAAAACAAACAAAAAACCCAGTATTCTGAATTGCAAATGCTTCTGCTTTTTTTTTGCAGAAAACCTGCCATGATTATTTAATGAATAAGGATTTTCCACAAAACAGGCTTGCTCTACATGCTAGATTTTTAAACAGTTCAGTGACACAATATGCTAACTACATACACAACAGATAATATAGTAAGAAAACACTCAACCTGATGAAAAGTTAAAATTTTCATTAATACACTGAAAACTGACATAACTCATGCCTTTAAAATCAAAAATACAAAAATTAAATGTTTTCCTAAAAAGATTTCCTTATTTTAAGGATTCATTTGAAAATGAAGCTGCATGTAATTTGTACAGTAAGTTGTACAAGTAAACAGGTAATTTACATAAAAAATTAAGTGACATACTCCTCAATTATCAGTTGTCCACCTTTAATTTCCAATACTGTACTTTCTTAACAAGCATACAAAATATCAAACTTCTCTTTAGAAAAAGTGCCGTTCTTTGACATCCTTTACACAAAAACAGTCTGAGCCTGTGGCATGTTAATGCAGTCGAGAGGCAAAGCATACTAACTTTTACAAATTCTACCTTCCATAAAAAGCCTCCCGAAAAGGAGATTACACGCCACTATAAAAATATCAACCTCTTGTGGTAGCTGCATTAGACTAGAACCAAGGCTTGAAGACTATTTTCATATAGCATAGAAAAACCACTATGAGAGCATATTAACTGCATCGGTGGCTTGGGAGTTTACTGTGCCACAGGATTATGCATAGCTACTGTAAGGTACCAAGACTGTTACACAGAGTTTTAAATTGATTGTAACCGAGAGCATAACAGAGGTACTACCAGCCCATGCAAAGTAACTAAAAACACCAAGTCACTGTGCTGAATACTTCATTCCTGGAGGAAACCAAAGGCAGCAGTAACCAAATCCAGCCCAAAAGGTGACCAAACACATTCTTCTCAAAGACTGGTGAGCACAGTGAAGTCTGAGGTATACCTTTATCCATTAAATCCGTGTGCCATCGCAAGATATTACCATTTGGGAACACATGCCATCACAATGGTTTAAGTCATTTGAATATTAGTCATTTATATATTCTTATCTACCCAGTCTCTTGATTTTTGAAAGGATTTCACCTACAGTAGAATATTACAGAAACAAAATATAAATGCATGTCTTTCTAAATGAAACTTACATGGACTAAAAGTAGGGAATATTTTTAAACAAATATACAATATGCAAGCAGACAAAGCAGGAAAACGGCCATTCAAATGTATAATAAAAAACTAAAAATTGACTATTTCCAGAAAACTATGAAGCGCCTCAACTAAAAGGAATGCATAATGAAATTCTAATCTAATACAGGTCAAAAATGTAAAAAGGTTATAAACCTTAACAGGAAAAATAAAACAACTTTTACTGGCCATTCCTGTTGAAATGAGAATCTTAAAGTAACAGAAAAGTGGCTACAAACCCACTTAGAGCACCAAACAGAGAGAAAATAAAAGTCCATTTTCATCTCTGTTATTATCATAAAATCCTGTGTGACTACAGGTCAAACTGCTGGTGGCAGAAACAGAATTCTTTATAAACTGCAGATGTCCTGTACATAAAAAAATTTCACTGGAGTTGCACTAGTTCTAAAGACTCTTCTGTTTTAGCCTACCTACTGTATGTATTCAATCTGAGATAAAGTCTCTTTCTGTAACCCTTGATTATTATTGGGCACCAAAGATAAGAAAAAGCAAGACGGGGTACAAAAATGCAAAATTTCAACAGTAATGGCAATGTTTTGTCTTAGTCCAAAAGGGTCCTGCATTCTCTCCCCCTTCAGTGATTTGACAAGTCTTTGTACTTAATCAGGGGGCAGCAAATCATGCAAGCGAAATCGGTCTCTGATGTGAGGTCGAACATCTTCATTCTGTGTAGAGAAAAAGACATTTCAACAGCCATGTAATTTCAAAGACATGACCCTCAGAGCATCATGAACATTTTTACTTTACAGAAAAGTGTATCACTATTGACTTTCCAACTTATTTTATTTGCCAAATATAAATGTACTACACAAAAGCAATTAACTTAGAATTAAATTTAGGTTTTTAAAAAACTGCCATTAAAAGTTTTAATTTTGTAAGAATGATTATACAGTAACAGTGTGGTTTGGTCTGGTATTGCTTTTACCAAATCAAAAGCTAGATAAAAGCATTAAGCCACTGAATTCTATTTCATATATTAGTTTTAAAATGAATATATAAATATAGGAAAAAAGATTTTCAGTACAGTTTTAGTAGCATAAACAATAATTCTATACCTGAACTATGAAAGCAAAATGAAATTGATTTAACAAAACTAGTTCAGTGACTTGCAAGAGGAACCCAGTGAAATAAAAAGATTCACTTTATAAGTTTTAAGATATTAATAAGTATAATTTAAATATAGTTGATATGGTTGATAAATGCATGTAATCCTTTTCAATCTTTGCCCTAATCTCCCACCACACTGATTTTAAAGCAATTTAAAAGATTTATTTCAATCAAGCTGAGCCAACAAAAACATAACAGAAAAAGGTAAGATTTACTTACCAGTTCTACAAGCTTCTCCAGAAATGGAATCAATTTTAGGAGTTCATTGTCATTTTTATCCATAAACCAGCTTTCTATAGGGATTCCATTAGATAGCTAAAATGATAAATAAGTAATTAAATCCCTTTTGCCTACTTTGGAAAAGCTTAAAAAAAAAATAAATTGGAGCCTAACTGAGTTTTCAGCATAATTGCATCTTAGTATAAATAAAACTGAACAAGAAATAGTCATTAAAATAAGTTTTGCATTAATGTAACTAAAAACATTCCTTTAATTCGTTCAAGGAATAGTTACTATTAGTTAATGTTAGGCATTGTGAATGCAAAGGTACTGCCAATCTAACAGAGCATATATTATTGGAGAGCATATACTTATTATACATAGGGACCATGTCCCATTCATGGTTTTATTCCCCTCAAATAGCAGGATAATCTAAAACACAGGAACATAACAAATTGATTCAATACTATTTCAGTGAAGAGTCCAAAAATAAGAATGTAAACTTTATCTGTTTTATAGTAAATAATCTCTAGGATATCTTTATTTAAACATTTACACAGAACATTGTGTTTGAGATGAAGAATAATTCAATGATTTTATCTAGGAACACAGAAAAACATTCTTAAAAACAAATTTCAAAATGCAAGCAAATAAAAAGCAACTTAAACTGAACATATTTCAATACCATAGGCAGTTTACCCATTTTATTCTTTTTATTATGGACATTTTAAAACACAGAAGTTAAGGGTAAATCTTGTTTTATCTATACCCAACCCACATTCCAACATCACCATTCTATCTACACCAATTTATTGTGAAGGAAACCTCAAACAGGTCACATGAATATACTCATAATGTAAAAAATGCCCTGGCTGGTGTGGCTCAGTGGATTAAGTACCGGCCTGTGAACTACAGGGTTGCCAGTTCAATTCCCATTCAGGGCACATGCCTGGGTTGCGGACCAGGTCCCCAGTGGGGGGCATGTGAAAGGCAACCACATATTGATGTTTCTCTCCCTCTCTTTCTCCCTCCCTTCCTTCACTCTATAAACAAACAAACAAACAAACAAACAAACAAATAAAATCTTAAAAAGGGTATAAAAATATTAACAGTCAATATATAATATTTAAAACGTCAAATTAATATTTCAATATTTGTCAAGTCAGACCAGAAGAACAAGGTTAAACTATTTGTAATTATCAAACATGTTTACAATCAAATTACTGCTAGAACAACTCATAAGAAAGCTATTAAATGATATATGCCTTATAGTCCCTTCTTATTCACATTTACCAATGAGATTTTTCTTTATTTATGTTGTACTCAATTTTAAAGAAATGTTTTCACAAGGAATATGCCAATGTGGCATTTCTAATCGTAAATGTGACACTAAACAGGAAAATGCCACCAGTGAAAATCCTTTTCTCCCGTCATGTTGTTTGGCAGCATTTGTTTTCATTGTCATTTTTTTCCCAAGCTGAATTTGTTTAGCAACCCTCTTCTTACCTGATATGCAAAGGCTTGTGGTGAGTTGTCAATTATTATAGTTTTTGAAAGATCTCTTCCAAGGATATTTAAGTCTTTTATATAGTTTCCTTGTACACAAACACAATGTTCACGAAAAAGTCGGTGCCTAAACATAAAAATAAAAACCAATTAACTAAAAACAAGCAACCTCTAAAAAAATACAACACATACTGAAACATACATACACACATATACCATAAGTTTAGAGGTTATGCCTTATTTTGTCTCACAAAGGAAATTCATGTGAGCCCAAGCTTTAGGCTACAGTTTTACTGTAAAAATTGTTAGCAACTTAAAACCTTACAACCAAAAGTTACCATGCCTTAAAGAACTCTGGTTTATCCCAAAGTGTTATATTAAGTTACAGAAAAGAACTAAAAGTTCTATAATTTGTTTTTGTAATTTTTACCCAGGAGAGCTCAGTGCAAATGCATCTGATTGTCAGTGAACACCTGCTTTTTAATCAATTTTCCAGATGGCTAACTGAAGCACAAGGGGGACAAGTGACTCGCCCAAGGTCACACAGTAAGTCAGTGGTTAGCCCTGCACTGGAAGCCAGGAGGATACTGCATTCAGTATCCTCCTGGCTTCTAGTCCTTGGCTCTAACCAGAAGACTACACAACCTTCCTATCCCTGTATATGCCGGAACAATATATAGGAAAGAATGTTTCTGTGTTGGCATTTAAAAAAATGTTTCCAGTTTCCCTTACAGTTTTTGAGAAAAGTTGTGGAGGCCAAAACATTCCATCATTTCAACTTTTCCCAAACACCTTTTTAATTTAGCGTGTGTGGTCACTTGAAAAAACAAGGACTGAATAAAATGATGAATTCAGATTTAACATGTAAACTGATGTTTCACCAATGATAGTACTAACTTGAAAAATTCTGTATCATTTAAAAAAGCTATGAAAGGTTTTATAATAGAAACTATAACAATTATATAATCTTCATTTAGAACTCAAAAATATTAGTCTCTGTATATTATGCATAAGTGATACAGATCACCTTCAAATACTCCTTTATATACACGAATTATTTGGTAGTTTGGTTTCCTTATGTCTCAATCTCACACTAAACATTTTTTCAGGAGCTAGGCTCTACTTATACCTGTATTTTCAATCATGCAATTTCAAGAACTGGGCATTTTCTACAAAGGAAATCTGTCTTAGTTCTAGCAGCAGCAACACCACCACCCCAACAAAACTCAACTTTAAATATATCAGTGCTAGTGGTGATGGCAAAGAGCAAGAATTTTACCACAAGACAAAACAGTATAAATAGCTCTTTCCCTCCTTATCACAAAGAATACTTTCAGTTATATGATAATCTATCTCTAAAAGGTTTAAAGATAGTCCTACTTTGAAAAAATAAGGCCAAACAAAAGGATTTAAGCAAACATTTAGGTATGAGGAGATTGGTGAGGTAGACACAGCATGCATGTACAAGTCACTACTGATGTTTTTTCCCCCAATAGGAGCAAACTCACCCAGGACAGGAGACAACTGAATATGTATGCATACTAACAGTTACTTTAAATTATACTAAAGCCTCTCCAGTTATTAAAAAATCTGAGGGTCAATAGCATGTATTTTCAGTTTTAGAAAGAAACTTTTTTTTTGCCAGTCATCAAATTTGCATTTGGACTCATGAGATTCAGAGATCTTAGGAATTTCTGAGTCTACCTTGTCACCAACAAAGATAATTCCTTATAGCACTCTAATGAAATAAATGTATTAAAAACATTTTTCCTGTTTTAAGTTTTTCAAAATGTAACAAAATAAACTCAAACTAAATGTGCAGATTTTAGAAAACTAGTTTAAAAGAGGGATGTTAATTTGTAACATTATAATTGCATGAGTATAATTTGTCCTCCAATAAAATGAAAGCTCAAAGAGGGAAAGGGCTTGTGTCGCTCACCAAGGTTCCCTGGAATGCTGGAGGTACTAAGTAGAAATCTTCAGAATGAACCATCAAAGCAAAACATTCTGTATACTTTTGTTGAAGTTGGGTAACATGAGCATAGATTATAATATACTTTGAAAGATAAAATGAAAACTAACTCCAAGGGCAAATTTTAATCCTTTAGAGTAAAAAAAAAAAAAATCATGGTTCTATTTACAAGAAAGAGAATCTCCTAAACGTGGACATTAAGAAAAGCCTTTCACTGCAGTTGCTATCACTCAATAATAAAGGTACTAGTAATAGCCCTGGCTGGGTGGCTCAGTTGGTTGGAGCATTATTCTGTACACCAAAGGATTCTGGGTTCAATTCCCGGTCAGGGCCCATACCTAGGTTGCAGGTTCGATCCCCAATTGGGGCTTACATGGGAGGCAACCGATCAATGTTTCTCTCTTTTCCCATTCCTCTCTTGCTAAAATCAATAAAACAAAACATATCCTCAGGTGAGGATTCTTTTAAAAAAATTAAAGAAGTTATTAATAGAAATTAAATTTAGGATTTTCTACTAAGACAATATGGGAGAAAGTATTTGAGAAAGTGAATACCCACTATTAAGGCTATTATGAGTTTTTTGTGGCACCTCTATCGCCTCTTGGTCAAAAACTCAAAGATTAACTCCTACATCTTATATGATGCAACAAAAGACTGTTATATTCTCAGTATCTCAGTTGAACTAGTTTTCAAACTGTTTTAAAATTACCCAAGGCACTTCCACCTAACCAGGAACACACTGCATCTGCAGGCTCAGGACACACACAAGAAACTGAGTCCAGATCAGGATAAATTCAGTGACTAAGAGAACTGAAATTTGCAATTTGATTCATGTATCACTTTCTCTCCATGGAAGATAAATTTGCTCTTGAAAAAAGCAAAAGAGTTTAATTTGTCCCTTTCCATTGAAACTAACTTATTTTCTCTATGCCATTAAAAAGATGTCGTAACATGCATTACCTCAGAGACATAAGGAAGTGAAAACATCATGCACACAAATGAAAAATTCCACATACCCCACTAACAATAAATAAATACATTTGATCTTTGTATCCTTTTAAAACGTCTGTCTGGAGTTATATCATTAGAAACTCTTAAAGAGTTTTGGAGTTTAAAAAATCCATTTATTTTCACCATACAACAAAACAAATCTCAAAATATGTAGCCAACTGAAAATGGCCATGAGAGTTAAATATAATCAGAGTAATTTCATAGTTCAGTGTGACAGACATTTCCACTATTTCTTAATTAAATTTACCTGACCAGTTGCTTTTTAGGGTCTAGTATGTTCAGTAACTTGTCTGCATACACCTTCTTAGAAGCAGTAAAAAGAATGATCTACAAATTCAGGGGAAAAGAAGTAATCATTATACATGATCTAAATATGGGTACTACGTTGAATAAAATAAAAATTTTATGTAATTAATTCATGCATGTTTACCTCATACATCTGAGACATTCGTTCCAGGAATTCCCTGAAGAATGGCCTTAATCTCACATAAACCTGAAGAAATACAAAGACAAGCTTTCAGCAAGTAAACACATAAAATAGAACCAACTTATTTATGAGATGTTATATTCTAACTCTGAGTATATCATCAAGTTCACATTTTAAAGAAACAGAAAAGTTTACTAAGTACCACTTACAAAATATATTTCACATACCAAAAATCACTTTAAACAACCTTTTGGCATGGCAATAATAATTAATCACTGGTGATCATTTCACTTTTCAGCATTCAAAAGGACTTCATGGAATATAATTCTAATAAACATTTCAACTGTTAATGGAAGGTTTCCCTCTGATATTTTGATCCACCAATCAGCTCCATCTTCCAGCCAGGTGGCATCCATCCAATTATTAGGCAGGCTGTGTGTCCATCTCTAGCTGACCTGTATCAATGACCTTCCTCAATAACTACTCAGAATTTCTTCTCAACAATCACCTAAGAATAGCTTTATTTCAAATGTCTACAATGGTAAATAACGTTAAAGAAAGAGATGTTTGGATTGGTGGGTTTAAATAACTGAAATTTTTCAGAAATCAATTTAGTTGTTCTACATTTACTGATTCAGATGTGGCATTTAAATTAGTACTACTTGGCTACTTGAGATAAAACTAGAATACTCAAACACCTACAGTTGTCAAAATCTACTGCCACTATCAGGAAAGACCAGAGCACCTGAAGAACTGTCTTGTTTCCATATCTGTCTTCTTGCCTACATTTAATGTAGCTCTTGTAATACACTCCAGTACCCAAAAAGCATATAAATATAAGTCATAAGCAACCACTGAAACTGATTTACAAAAGGTTTTGACTTAGATTTTATACAAAGAAACTTTTGTATTCCACTCAAAGGTGATTATTAACCTCAAATACCATGAACAGACATTTGCATAACACCTATTTATTTACCAGATTCACTGGGTTCAGATCAAACAAACAAACAAAAAACTGTGGTAACAAATTCAAAATGTAGGTTTCATAGAGTCCGTCACCAATACATATTCACATAAAAATGCCTTCATGATAAAAATCTAGTTCTAGGAATGTTGTAGGGGCACAAGAGAGAAATCACGCAAAGGGACAATGTATTACCAATCTTTGTCATTTCCAAAGCCCAAAAGGCATAAAACAATGCCAAATATATAGTAAATACTTGATAAAAATCTGTTAAGTAAATGAAACAGAATTGCCTAAAATTATGCAAAATAGAGAGGCTACCCTACATGGCTACATAAGGATAACTATTAAATTTCTTTAACAAGTTGAGCACTTGTGTAAGACAAATTCTGAACAAATATGCTAATAATATCATTTATTAACCCTACCTGTAGGCTAGAATGATAAAGGTTTACTTGTGTTCAATCCTATTAATCAGGCATTTTATCTCAATTTCTTGACTAGCCAAAAAACGAAGTAAGCCACATACCCCATTTCTAGCAAATAAAAATAACCAAATCCTCAGTATCCCATCACTATCATTTAGGATGAGTTACAAAAAAAATTAACCAGAGTTGTCATAAATCCTAACGTTTTCATCCTGGAACATTTGGTAGTTCACGTCATTGGTTGAAAACCACGTACCTTGCTTGGTTGGTAATTCAAGTTAACTGATAGATTTTAGATATACTGCTACCTTAACTGGCAAAATCCTTTTTTTATAAATAGATTTGTTATGGTTAAGGAAAAAAATCAATTCTGCCAATTGATTTTTCAAAATAGATTTGTTATGGTTAAGGAAAAAAATCAATTCTGCCAATACTTTTTAAAAAATTGCCTCATCTGAAGGATGATAAACCATGAAACATGTTTGTTACTAAGGTTTTTATCACTTCCATGTACTTAATAATCAAAAGAATTCATTTTTACATATGTATAAATGATTTCAATTAACCCTGTTTATCACTTGCCCCATACTGTGAACTAAGATAAACAGGGCATCTGTAATTTGGGATGTTTTCTCAGAATATTAACACGATTCCATTTTATAGGAATACTTCTACTTAAACAATATTATCTAAGCATAATAAGTAGAACATTGTACAAAGGCAACATTTCCCAGCTTCTTATACGATGGATTCCAGATTGGGTCAAAACTGTAACTCCATTATGTACTCAACCACTTTGACTATATTTAAATATAAAATACATCTTAAATGATATTACTTTCAAAATGTGCTTGTTTGCTGGGGGTAAAAGGTGTCACTAAAGATAAGGAAATATATTGCTAGGGTATTCCCTTACCATGAGAAAAACATATAATAAATTATTAGCTGTAAAAGTTCCTATCCTGAGAACAATGCCACCATTTGAACAGAAGGTATTTCAGAATTAAAAGACATAAGTGAAAACCTAGGCAATTAGTGAAAAAACAAGAATTTGAAAAAGGTACAAAGTAACAGTGAGCAGGGGTGGGGTTGGGACCACGTGGAGTTCTGCAGTCTGCCAAGGCAAAATCTCAGAAAGAAAAGTAGAAATAGAGGCATCAGGCCAACAGGGTCCAAGTCATTTAGATGGATATATTAAAGCAGAAATATGCAGAAGGTAAGGTGCACGCACTAAGTATTGTCCAGTAGGAAACAAACAAAAAAACCAACTATACAGTATGTATAATGAGACTACAATCACTATTTGTGTTAGGGCACAGAGTTACATTAACATACAGATGCACACAGAGTAATGCCTCCAAATGCTTTAAAAATCTATTCCACAAACCCTTTTAACTTCATTTTTTCTTCTACATTCTTTTTCTTAGTATTTCACCAACCATTCCTTCAAACTTGCAACTCTTCAAAACCATGTCATCTCCCAAATGTAAGATTAGGCCAAAAGTTTCAGTTCAGTCATATGTATATACCATATCTATTCCTCCCAATATACAGCAATTATTCTATCTACATTATAAACAGTTTTAATCTTCTACCAGTAAAACAAATATATTTCGAAATTAACAGTTTAAAAATAACATATAATGCTATAAAAGAAATAATTATATAAAATATAATACCAATACATATCTTCAATTAGATTTACTACCCTAAAAAATAGTATTTATGAATATGTTCATTATGCAAAAGTTTTAAAATAAAATCTATTATAATTATATCAGCAAAACAGTGATATTGGAACTGATCTTACCAAAAACTAAATTTTATATAGAAAAGTGAATAAATATTTAACAGAAAAATAACATTACATTAACAAAACTTACTACAAACAATATTTGACAGTCAGCCTGTACTTTCTTTGGTATTAAGGCAATGGGAATGTTCTATGACTGTGTATATAGTCATAATAGGCTATAAACGGTGAATAGAAATAGATTTAGTAAGTGTAGTCATTAAAATATCTAGTTATATAAACTGATTATAAATATTTTGTGATGAAGTCTGTCTAAATTCAAATTCAGTCTAAGTATGCAATGTCAAAATATATATATTGAGTAATTTCTGACTGCCAGTTTTAACTTTTATCTATAATCATGGATAACTTTAATAGCATGACCAAAAAAAAAAAAAAAAAGAAGAGGAAAAGACCCAAAGAAAGATAAGCGGTTTCAATTTTTTCACTTTGTCGACAAGTGATTACCAACAAAGCTTATTACATGTAAATCTTTTTTGGAAAAAATATTTCTAAATGATTTAAAGGATAGAGATAATATGACCTTAACATATTCAAAATGATACATCCTTAATTGTTTTTCTATGATATCCTTAGAATTTATTGTTACAATGTTGTAGGTTTAAAAAATGAAGGTAAATTCAGTGGAACTCACCCACTTAAGAGTATGGGACCTTTAAAAAATGGTTTGTAAATGCTATTTCATCAGCAGTAAGAATTTAAAGCAGAAGAAAACTAGCAACGCTGGGGAATGTGAAGAATGAGATGCTACAAATAAGTAAAATATCTTAGGTTCTGGCCAGGTGGCACAGTTGGCTGGGACGCCATCCCTTACACCAAAAGGTTGTAGGTTCGATCCCTGGTCAGGGTGCTACAGGAGGCAACCAGTCAATATTTCTCTTTCTCAAAATCAATAAACATATCCTCAGGTGAGGATTAAAAAAAAATTTAGTAAATACCACAGGTGTAACCCTTCTGTACATCTGATTCCTAATCCATAAAATGGGTATAATAGTACATAACTCATAGTTGTGAGGATTAAATACATTAATGCATGCAAAGTACCTAGAACTGTGCCTGACACACTGAAGTTACCAATAGCTATTACTATTATCCATCTTACTATTTAAAAATAATCAATCGAGAATAAGGGTTAGATGGCTGCTGGGGGATAGTATTTGTAGGTAGATCAATCTGGGAATAAATAGGTAAATACTAAAACATCAGAGAACCAATAAAAATGAAAATAAAAAAAGACTCAGGAAATCCCTAAACTAAAAGTTTCTGTAAAACCTAATACTCAACCTGGCTGATGTGGCTCAGTGGATCAAGCACCAGCCTATGAGCTGATAGTCTGTTGGTTGGATTCCTGGTCAGGGCATGCGCCTGGGTTGCAGGCCAGGTCCACCATCGGGGGCAAGCGAGAGGTAATCAAATGGATGTTTTTCTCTCACATCAATGTTTCACTCTGTCTCTTTCTCCCGCCCTTCCTCCCTACTCTGAAATATAAATAAAATCTTTAAAAAATAAAACCTAAGTAGAAATAAGTTAAACAAGGAATCTTCTAGCCCTGGCTGGTGTAGTTCAGTAGATTGAGTGCGGGCCTGCATACCAGAGTATTGAGGTTCGATTCCCAGACAGGGCACATGCCTGGGTTGCAGGCCAGTTCCCAGCTCGGGACCCATGAGAAGCAACCATGCATTGATGTTTCTCTCCCTTTCTCCTTCCCTTCCCTTCTAAAGATAAATAAATAAAATCTTAAAAAAAAAAAAAAAAAGGAATCTTCTTATAGAGTCCAAATAGGATAAAGTGAAGCTTAATATATTCATGTAAATGGTAGCAACAAAAAACTTTTTCAAGTAAAATCATCTATAATGTA